ATCTTTTCTTTCTTTTTTTGTGTGTTAGATTCACTAATGGCTCACACCGTTTTCCCATCAGCCCTCTCTCTAAGCGACAAGGCAGCTGACAAACTGATCTGAACCCCAGCGTGTCTGTGAAATGGGATCCCCCAGGATCAAAACACACTTTAAAATGGCTGAACAACTCCTCACTCAAAATACCCTTGGGATGCTTACGTCACACTACCACATCGCTGCTCCTAAATGTCCATTTGCATACACTTTTCAAACATCCTGTGGCATATTTGTGATAATTACAAGATTTGTAAAGATTCTTTTTAAAGATCTTGTTTTTCATTGTACATGTGCATTTTGTATTTTATAAAAGTATTTTTTTTCTTTTGCTACTGTATAATTTTGTTAAAAACATAACATAACACATTTACATCATAATGCCATCTGCCATGGTACTTTCATACATAACATGTAACAGGTACTGTAAACAATAGAATAGAAAAGATAAACTTTTCTCAGAGATTCACACACTTTTTTTGTCAGCAAAAACTCTGACGAAAAATATTTACTTTATGTACCCCCTGAGATTTTGAGTTCATATTTCAATCATTTAACAACACATTTAAATGTTTCTCTACATTTCTCTGATGCTGGTTGTCAAATCCTTTTTAGTAAGTGTTTCATATTGATTGTTTTTATTTTACATTTACCATTTTAATTATGGTTTAGTTTCTCAGCTTTTCTTCAATTTAAAACCTTCTGCAGTTATTTCATGAACCCAAGTTTGGCAAACCCTGGTTTACGTTAAATTAAAACAACTAGGCATTACTATGGTAAAATGTATTCCTAAAAATCATGAAAATACCATATAGCTTTTGGCTTTTAGTTTGTTTGTTTTTTTGCTATTATTCTTCATTATAGAGTTGACAATATATTTTTAAGTTAAACTGGATACTAATTCAGAGAATGAAGGAACTTGATCTTATCCATCAGGTTTGAACCGAATCGTGAAAAGTGGGTGTTCAGGCATGGTGACGTCAGTCAGTGAGAAAAGTCAGTTTAGCAAGTCACTTTGAATAATTTTGCACAATACGACAAGGCTCATGGATAAAAACTAAAATCAACTTATGTTATTGTTAAAGCATTCATTTTATCCTTTAAAACTCACCTTTGATCACCAAAATAACATATTTAAAAGTTTTTTTTACGTGTCATGCCTTAAAATAGCTTGAAATTAACTCTACACCCTTGTCTCATTTGGTATATGCTGTTCTATGAATATGCTAATTAGCTCCGCCTCCACTCAATTGTGTGGATCATTGAGTGGAACCAGAGCCCATTATCATTAGCCCCTCCTCCAATCCTGCCGGTGGATGCTTTGTCTTAAAGCATATTAAACACTCCACATAGACAAATAAACAACATTAAAAGCTTGATTTTCACCACAGGGAGACTTTACGGAATGTTAATTTTGACAATAAACCATCCAAGGCATGATGAAATCATTAAAAAAGACCAATTTAATAGAATAAGTACTTAATGTATGAGGCTCCAAGAAACTCTCAACCATAAGCAACACTCCATACCTTCTTGATCTGGCTTTTGGGATTAAATTACCCTTTTCTTTTCCCAAACCCCCCCATCCCATTCCTCTTTCTAATAAGAACTGAGGGAGAGGCTCAGCGGAGGAAACGCTGAAAGATTACTCGTAATCAGACTGATAGCAGTGTGTGTGAATGAAGCCAGAGGCACAGGAGAGCTTTGGACCCATGTAGGGCTAACTGCCCTCTTACTGATCCAGTTCCGTAATGGCAGTGCACACAATATCCGTCTCTAGAGTGAGAATCCATCAAAACATATTGATCCAGAAACAAGGGAATTGGCCATGGCGCAGAGAGAGAGCAGTGTGGCTGAAAAGTGTTTGTTTCTGTGGGACTGTCCTGACAGGGTTCATCTATTAAGGCAGAGCTCAGGGGAACAAGGAGACAAGGGCTTGGACATAGCTGTGGCGTGTTGAGCTGGATATGGCAACACAAAATGATCGTTCTCCATCTTTTAAAAGAGCTTGTTTGTTCTACTCAGCCTATAAAACACCACAGTTGATTTTCTGTGAGTATGTGGGTGTCTATTTGTTTTATTGGGACATTGGTTTGGTGTTGGGTTGGATGGTATGCTCCTTGTTGAGTCATCAAAATGTTTTTTCCTATTATTTCCTTAAAATGATAGTTGACCGAAAATTACATGTCATCATGTACATTTCCAAAAATGTATAGCTTTATTTCTACAGAAGAAAAATAAGTGAAGAGTTGTCTGTGCTTCTCCAAATGCAGTTTTAAAGGGATACTCCACTTTTTTTTTTTTTTTTTTTTTTTGGAAATAGGCTCATTTTACCACTCCCCCATAGTTAAACAGTTGAGTTTAACCGTTTCAAATCCATTCAGCCGATTTTCTGATATTTAGATGAATATCAGTGACCAGACAGTTTTTGGTCTCTGACTTCCATAGTAGGAAAAAAATATACTATGGAAGTCAATGAGACCAGAAACTGTCTGGTTACTGATATTCTTCTAAATATATATATATATATATAAAAATGGCAGAATACATTCGAAAATGGTAAAACTCAACTGTTTAACTCTAGGGGAGTGGTAAAATGAGCCTATTTTCAAAAAAAAAAAAAGGGAGTATCCCTTTAATGAATGGGAATGAGGTTTTTAAAAGTATCAAAAAAAGTGGTCTGTATGACATCTATTTCAAGTTTTAAGCCATTTGAGATATGTGTGAGAAACATACTAAAACTTAAGGAGTTACACATTCTTCCTTTTCTCATGAGCATCTCAAAGTGTGTAACACTATTGTTAGTCAATTGGTTTGATTCTGACTCATAAAACCAGTCTGAATTAGATTTGAGATCTCAAATTCAACTCACTTACTCAGTAGAGAGAAAGATTATCAGTAACAACATTTCTGTGCATCAGTCATATGGACTTGACTGAATTACTTTTAGTTTTAGTTAGTGCTTTTGTTTATTGGTGCATTTAAAAAAAAAAGTTGAAAACCAAAAAAGTTAATCTAAATAATGCACACATTTGATATGATCTAACAGCTGGATTTGCTAAAGTTTGTGAAAATGTAGGGATTCAATATTTATTAGACATTCAAAGACGTCTTTAAATAATGATTGATAATTGCTGAATGCCGACAGTATATGAGAGCATTATAGCATTTGCAGGCAAAAACTGTAATACATTATACTACGCTTACTGCCTTTGCGTAACAGCTCTGTTTAATAATTCATTAAACTAATATAGTAAACTAATGAAGACAAAAGTATAAGAACTCGTAACTGACTGCAAGTACTCAAAACTGTCAAAATAAAAGTTCCATCTGTCAAAATAAAGATTCCACTTTCAACACTTATTGGCCAAATTATCAGCATGCCAATATCAGCCGATATTTCAGCCTTAGTGATAGATATTGGTCGACCAATAATGGCAGATCTTGTCACTTATGATACTTATGATATTTCTTGTAAAAAGTAGCTTATAACTGCACTAGCTACATTAACGGGTTAATTCACCCAAAAATAAAAATTCTGTCAGTAACTCACCCTCATGTTGTTCAAACCAAGCGTGTCGCACAAGCCCTCAAAAGTGAAGCCAAAACGTTTCGATCGTATAGCTCATAACCCCCGCCTCCCCATGTTATTCAATGGGACGCGAGACCAACTAAACAACTAAATTACACTTCACATATACTTTTTCCAAAGATAGCTTCTGTCATTTACTGTAGTTTCTATCACGTTGATGTAATTTCAAGTGTTCGTTTTTAAAATAAGTTTGTTTTTAGTTAGTTATGTGATGATAAAAATGGTGCTCTGACATCATGATTGACAGCTGTGATTGACAGGTTCTCTGTGCACGGTAGTCACTGAAGCACCAGCTGACTTTTTTTAATAATGTTGATTATGTGGTTAGTAGTTGTATTTACCTTATTTTAACGAGGTTCTGCAATCAGCAGACATCATTGGAGAAGAACGAAGCAGACAGAGGCCACTTAATGAAAATGCGGGGCGTGTGCTTGCGTTTGATTCAGCAAGAATGAGGGCGGGGCCTTGATTTCGCGGCTTTACTTCCTGCTCACGACTGCGCATGTCTGGTCCCGAAAAGGGCAAGTGTGCAGTCTCAAGTTCCAAGATGTCAGCGTCATATCGAGACACTGGCGGCTTCAGTTCTCTCTGATGGAAAAGAGCGAAGGGGCGTCGTCCATCTTTTTTTACAGTCTATGGTTCAAACCCCATAAGACTTTCGTTCATCTTCAGAACACAAATTAAGATATTTTTGATGAAATCTGAGAGCTGTCTCACTCCTCCATAGGCTTCTATTCTAATTTTAACTTGCCGACCCAGAAAGTTAATAAAAACATTGTTAAAATAGTCCAATAGTCCAATAGTCCATGGTAATAGTCCAACTACAGTGGCTCAACCATAAGTTTATCAAGTGACGAGAATACTTTTAATCAATATGGACCTCAGAGTGAGTTCACGTAGTGTAACAGCGCAGCACTACGTCAGAACGTAGGCTCACTATGAGTGTGATGCTGGCCAATAGTGAGCCTACGTTTCTTCTCTGGACCGGCAGGTTTCAATTACAATAGAAGCCTATGGAGGAGTGAGATAGCTCTCAGATTTAATCAAAAATATCTTAATTTGTGTTTCGGGTTGGAACAACATGAGGATGAGTAATTACTTTCGGGTGAACTAAACCTTTAAGTTAGTAGCAATGTTATTTTTAGTTAGTCGGACAGGCCAGTGTTGAGGGGTAACTTTTGAAAAATGCTTGCCAAAGTTTGCAAACTCGCATTCAGTCTGTAACCCTCTTTTTTAATGATCCAATCAGCTGGTGATGGATAAAATCAAGCCCTGTACTAATTTTATCATTCAGAAATGTCCCATTTCAGATGTACAGTAAAATGGGATGCGAATGTTAATGAATGGTGTGAGGGGAAAAAGTGTGTGTTCTCACCTGTGGTCCAATGGGGTACGTGGGATGAGATTGACCCATATGACCATGTTCTGTGGGACTGCTGCTGGCATCAGACTGAACTGAACCAACTCGAACACCTGAGAGAGACACACAGAGAGAGAGAGAAAAGATAGACTTATTTCTCCATTCTTAAAGAATAAAATCCTTTTCAATAAATTCCTCCATTTTCCCCTCCCATAACACATATACAAACACTCAGAGACAGTATCATGCTGTGACGGCAGTGAGCCCTCAGTAGGGTGCTCTGTAACTGTAAACCGTTTTACCAATAAAAGAGCCTGCACACCATGCGTTCTCTGCTAAACAACACCCATCAGCACTGTTACACACACTTCGCAGTGAATCCTTAATTCAGCGACTCAAACCACACATCAATTTACATGCTTGAGTTCTGCGCTGATCTGTCAACACAAGGCTGACATGAGATATTGCGCTTCAACACAGATGCAACATTTTAAAGTATAAAAATATTTCAAATTATGTTGAACAAATAGAGCCTTGGTCAGCATAAAGGTCCGTTCACAAAAAGCACGATAACTATACAGATAACTATAACGGTCCATATTAGCGTTTACACAAGAAGATAATATTGTTCTGATTATCCTACACTATTTCTCGTTAAATGCTTGAGCTGGATGGATTCTGATTGGCTGTCTATGTTTTTATCATTCATCAGCTGGATAAAATCATTCTGAAAGTGATTCCAACGATACTGTTTCTCTCAGCCGTTATCATTACAGCTGTGGTGTGATTATTTAATATTGAGAACGATTTTAAACTATATCTTTATTGTTGTCTTTTTATTTTTCATCCTTTATTAAAAAAACATTCAAAAAATAATACAGACCCCTTACTTTTAAACAGCAGTGTATTTTTTGTGGTAACTGACAGAATGTTACAGATGTTGTCGATAGAGTCGATGGAACTTGGGGACTCATTATGGGCAATGCAGAACACTATTTATACTATTTAATGCTTGGATCTGATTGGTTGATGAACGTTCTGGTGTGTGCAGTTATTTTCAGGGAAACGCACGGCTAAAGTAGTTCCAGGCAGATCTTGATCGCATTACAGTTCCATATCACCTCATCAATTGATTTCAGTTATTTAAAAGTCCTTACAACCAACAACAGCAAAACAACCAAAGCCCACGGCAACAACTAACCAAGTAAATAAATATGGTAAATAAAAACAACAAATTATTCCATGTTTTTGCCCTAAAATCATGTTTTAGTATGTACGGAAAGCATATACTCTCTTTCTGCCTTTCTCTCTCTCCCAGTCAAACGCACACACACATATAATACACTCACACACTAGAACAGAAGCATGTTGTCTGAGCTTCTCTGAAATTTTTATCAGTAAAATAGTTTAACAACTTAAATGAGTTTAAAAACTTGAATTTGTCACTATAACAGCACTGTTCTTGGAACAGATAAACATACAGTTTGCTGTTAGAGACACTGCTGCCGAACACAGTTTGAGAGATGCACAGACTCAGGTAATTCACACACGCTTAAGGCTGATTTATACTTCTACGTCGGACCTACACCGGTTGTCCGCATTGACCTGTAATTACACATGCAGAGGGAGCATGTGAAACCTGAGGTAGGGGTTCTAGCAGACCAATCGCAGCGCTTGTGGTTCACGTAGAATTGACGTGTTGTTACATTTTTGGAGAGGTGCACTTCAGGGTACGCCGTAGGCTACGGGTGCTACACACAACCTATGACATAGCTACAGCGTGAGTTTGACCTACCATCTCACGACCAATTCGTACGAATTCGTACGAGTGATTAAAAAGTGGCTAATTCGTACGAATTCATACGATTTGTCTAAACCCACGTGATGGTTAGGTTAAGGGGTGGGGTCAGGGGTAGGTCATTCGTACGAATTCATACGAATTGGCCAATTCGTAAAATATGTACGATTTAGCAAAATCGTGCTAATTTGTACGAGTGAGGTCTTATGAATTGTTACGAATTAGCCACCTCGTAAAATTCGTACAAATTCCTGTGAGATCGAGTTGGTTTGACGTAGAAGCATAAATTGAGCTTTAAATCTCTCTCTCTCTCTCTCTCTCTCTGTCTCTCTCTCTCTCTCTCTCTCTCTACTGCATAAATAACCGCAATAAACTGTTATCAGTGGCTGAGTCTCTGTAACTAGCTCTAAAATGACATTTTGGAATTAGCAACGGAGGCCTGGACATTTTCACAAAAAATGTTATGGCCCCTAGAATATTTTGTTGAATATCTGAGCTGCGAAAATAAAGATTTTGTCTAAGACTACGGGTCAATATTTCAGTCAGAAACATTAGGCTTTGATTTATATGCTGTTTATTGTTGACGATCACATTATTTTCATATGCATCTGCTCTGCTTACATATGAAATTGTTTGTTTCTGCTTCATTTTTGACTGCGTTTTGATCTGGAGATTCTATGCTCGTTCAGGAGATGTGTCGTAGCGCCCCCTAGCGTTTGCAGTGAAAACACTGAAAGCAATAACAACTCGTCAAAGGCAGGGAAGCGTATGTTCAAAAATGACGAGATAACTCGGGGAAAGAGCTAATGTGTAAGAAATAAATTATACACACAAGAGCGTTTTAAGGGCAAAACCTAATCAATATTTTTAAGGTGTGGTAACAATAGTATACGCGGAATAACGGACTCTGTTCAATTATTCAAACAATATAATAACATGGTTTTGCATTGTGACCACACTACCACCTTGGTTGTCCATTACTGTTCTGATAATTCAATGGCCTATGATATAGATTTCATCAAAGCAGCTTCACAGTGATAACATGAAAATAATACAAGAAGTTTGTTTCTAGAAGAAAATTGCGTCATCGTCCACCTTAAATAAGGCAGATCAATAATATTTTTGAAAATTAAATGTCCCCAACTAAGCAAGCCAAAAGCCAAGGCAACAGTGGCAAGGAACCAAAACGCCATAAGGGACTGGAGAAAAAAAAGAAGAAAAAAAGTTGGGAGAAACCAGTTCTCCTCTGGCCAACAAACAAACAAACAAACAGTGTATGATTATGATTCAGGCAACATTATAGGATCAGAAAATTCACAATATTTATCAAGTTCCATCTGGTCGGAGGTATGGAGTTTGTTGAGGTGTCCTTGAGGCCTTTAACCGTTTATAGCAAACTCATTATAATATGTTAAAGTAATTTAAACATTTCATTTTTATTATGTATATAACAAATATATATATATTTAGACAATGTGTGACCCAAACCATATGTAGGGTGGTCAAACTTTTTTTTACAATCTGTCTTGTCGTTGTCATTCTGTCTGTACATGCTTCTGTCACAAATGCCTTGTATCATGCTAAAAACATACATAAAGCGATTTCTGATTCTGACTCCAACATTTTTTTGGAAGACAGAGTTTAATCTTTTTTTATTATTACTATTTTCATTATTATTTATCTACATCCATTTCGTAGATCCTCTTTCAGCAATGTTAAATAGTCGACATGAGGCTATAGTATCAGAGTTCATCGCATTGGCTTGAATAAAGCATCATTCAAATATGTTATCATGCATAATTAACTCATTGAGCTAATGCCATGCCAAGCCAAGTCTATTTAAAGGATGAGGCATGGTCTTGGGTGGTATAGCTAGCTAATAATAGCTATATTGCTGTTTGCTATAGCTAGTCATCTATTTTTGTGGTACACTGCCTTTGGTTCATGGTCAGGGTCTATGCAAATCCTACATACAGTATTGCTTTTTCTAGTACACAGTATGTAGTACGCTTTTTCTCTCCTTCTTTCAAAAGCTGTACCATGAAAGACAGAGTAGATTAAAACTAATACTGACAAAACTAGCTTGCTGTAACTTGTGTCATTACTACATTTTTTAAAAAGGTACAAAGTCTGTTCCTACACTTCCGTGCGGTTCTTGTACATTTAATAAATAGGAACCAACAGGCAGTGATGGCCAAAAAACAAAAACAAAGCAACTGATTTTAAATGGTTCTTCACTTACAGAGGCTTTTCTGGAGAATCACCATGGTAACATATCCTCATTATTCCAGAGATCACTGGAGGGTAAAGACCTGTCTCCCAGGCCCTAATCTCTCACACACACACACACTGGTCAAACCTAATAAAAGAGTTTGTAATCAAGCAACCCCGCACACTTATGAAGAACATCTGCTGATGACCGAGGAACGCTTAACCCCACTGTTAGCGGTCAGCCGTTCTGATGTGTGCTTTAATATACACCACAAGATTATGATTAGCTAGTTCTGGTTTCCTCTGAATTGCAGCAAAAACATAAATCTTGTCTGCGAGGAAAATTGAGCCAGAAAAGTAAAGTCAATAATAAATGTGTCATAACTCAAAAAATGAAATCATGTAGTTTGGACTGTTTTTGAGACAGTAACAGTGTTTTGTGTTGAATTGTGTTTCTTGTGTTAGGCTTGTGTTTCTTTGAGGACTATCATACAATTTCCTTCCTTCCATCCATCCATCAATCAATGACTGAGAGATATAATGCCTAAATAAATTGATTATTAAAAAAAGAAATTAAATGATAAAGTATTATATAATTATATATAAACTAGTATTATATATAATTATATACTTTTTTATAAAAATATTTTTTAATTAAATTGAATACATTTTATTATGATTGATTTAAAAAAAACTATTCAATTGTTAATATTTTATAAAATATTTTCTATAAAAATTATATAATTATATATAAACTAGAATTATATATAATTATATACTTTTTTATAACAATATTTTATAAAATACTAACAATTGAATAGTCTTTTTTAAATCAATCAAAATAAAAATGTATTCAATTTAATGCATTTTTTATTAAAACAAATCACTCAATAATATACAGTAGTTCAGTCATTGCTGTGATGAAGTCATTGCTCAAGGGACTGTAAGATTTTGTTTGTTGGTTTTTCAAAGAAGTCTCACCAATGCTGCATTTATTTGATCAAAAACACTAATATTGTAAATTATTTAATTTATCAATAGAATATATTTAAAAATGTATTTTATTCCTGTGATCGCAAAGCTGAATTTTCAGCATCTTTACTC